TAGTTAGTTAGTTAGTTAGTTAGTTAGTTAGTTAGTTAGTTAGTTAGTTAGTTAGTTAGTTACTTAGTTAGTTAGTTAGTTAGTTAGTTAGTTAGTTAGTTAGTTAGTTAGTTAGTTAGTTAGTTAGTTAGTTACTTAGTTAGTTAGTTAGTTAGTTAGTTAGTTAGTTAGTTAGTTAGTTAGTTAGTTAGTTAGTTAGTTAGTTAGTTAGTTAGTTAGTTAGTTAGTTAGTTAGTTAGTTAGTTAGTTAGTTAGTTAGTTAGTTAGTTAGTTAGTTAGGTAGTTAGTTAGTTAGTTAGTTAGTTAGTTAGTTAGTTAGTTAGTTAGTTAGTTAGTTAGTTAGTTAGTTAGTTAGTTAGTTAGTTAGTTAGTTAGTTAGTTAGTTAGTTAGTTAGTTAGTTAGTTAGTTAGTTAGTTAGTTAGTTAGTTAGTTAGTTAGTTAGTTAGTTAGTTAGTTAGTTAGTTAGTTAGTTAGTTAGTTAGTTAGTTAGTTAGTTAGTTAGTTAGTTAGTTAGTTAGTTAGTTAGTTAGTTAGTTAGTTAGTTAGTTAGTTAGTTAGTTAGTTAGTTAGTTAGTTAGTTAGTTAGTTAGTTAGTTAGTTAGTTAGTTAGTTAGTTAGTTAGTTAGTTAGTTAGTTAGTTAGTTAGTTAGTTAGTTAGTTAGTTAGTTAGTTAGTTAGTTAGTTAGTTAGTTAGTTAGTTAGTTAGTTAGTTAGTTAGTTAGTTAGTTAGTTAGTTAGTTAGTTAGTTAGTTAGTTAGTTAGTTAGTTAGTTAGTTAGTTAGTTAGTTAGTTAGTTAGTTAGTTAGTTAGTTAGTTAGTTAGTTAGTTAGTTAGTTAGTTAGTTAGTTAGTTAGTTAGTTAGTTAGTTAGTTAGTTAGTTAGTTAGTTAGTTAGTTAGTTAGTTAGTTAGTTAGTTAGTTAGTTAGTTAGTTAGTTAGTTAGTTAGTTAGTTAGTTAGTTAGTTAGTTAGTTAGTTAGTTAGTTAGTTAGTTAGTTACTTAGTTAGTTAGTTAGTTAGTTAGTTAGTTAGTTAGTTAGTTAGTTAGTTAGTTAGTTAGTTAGTTAGTTAGTTAGTTAGTTAGTTAGTTAGTTAGTTAGTTAGTTAGTTAGAATAAACAAACCCATGTATGTTAAATGAATAAACCACAAAAAATGTTCAATTAATAGTACAATTTTATCTCTTAAATTGTAACTAACCGCCCACGTCCCTCCAACATTAAACAACGATCTGATTGTGCGTTTTTTGCTTCTCAGTCAAGCATGTCAATCTGACCTTATGAAAAGGGTAAAAGTACGAGTTTTCTAATTTAATTCTCATTTTTATACATTTTCTTTTTGCGACTCCATTTGTTATTCTGCTTTGTGTATATGTGTGTGACTTCCCATCATTTTCCCGAGTCATTTTTATTGACACAGAGATTGGAATCAACTGTATATAGTGAACAAACAAAATAGATTTCACAGTTTGCACTGCGGACAAATCTTAGACAAATTTTAAAATCAAGATACACTGGATAGTTGTTGCGTGCTAGTTTGATACTCCTCATCAGTACTATCCACAAACCACAGTATCGCGAACTAGTTGAAATGACACCCATAAACTATGAAATGTTAGCTCGGTGATCTAAAGTTTAAGGGCTCACTGGGATACTTAGGGGCTCTGGGTCCGATTCCCGGTGATGTTATAAACATGTATTGCTTATGAGTGGCATTCTGAGACGAAACAACAGTGCTTCTTGGTTTTTAAAAGTTATCTCAATAAGATTGGTCCGTGATATACATTCTGATATCAAACGATATCCACAAACCATAGATAGCAAAAATAAACTATTGTTTTTATAGCCAAGTGTTATTCGATAGAAAATTATTGGAAAGCAGAACATGCTAAATATTCGTATCATTCCAGAATGGTGTTCTAATAGTTAAAGCGCTCAACTTCTTCACTAGTAGGCAAAAGGTTGAAATCCTGTTACATTAACTTGGGTTCGCCTACCAGAAAATATCACACAACTAATGGCTTAAAGTCAAATATAAGAATCTGTATATTGTTATTTTAAAAAGTGTAGACCATTGTCTACCTAGTATTGAACATTCTAGACTTCACATATATCCTAATTTAAGAGTTTAAGGTCACATGGATAACACAATACATTGAGATTACTGGGACTTTGTATTGAACCTATCTTCATTGCCAAATCAAACAACACAAAAATGCTCACTGTGAAATCAGCAATTAACAAACATCAAGGTGCTTTACATAAGCTTACAAAAGATAACACTCTGATCATAGGTAATCCAGACAAAGAAGGAGGGCTAGATCTAGTTTTTAAGAAAAAAAGATAACATCGATAAAATATGAATGGATAGAATGTTTGCGAATTTGTTTACCAAGTAATTGAATAAGTGACCTTGCTAACAGATCAATTTATATTTCAATATTGCCAGAAATACATATACACGTAAGCCCGGAAAACAGAAGTTCTATTACTACATTGTAATCGGTTTGACAAATAACAGTGACCACCAGTGGTTTATTTTACAAGTTACACTATGTAGTAACTCCAAGTAATTTAGTTGCTGAAAGCTCGTTTTGACCCATCTAAATCTATGGCGTAACTGGAGTGAATAACACCTTCATGAAACGAATTATAATTTCCAAGACTAGATAGCACTGGACGGCCAGTGCGTCCAAGTTTTCAATGATGGTCTGTCTTAGACTGACTCATGAATTCAACCGTTAAAATTACTAGTCTCCTCAAATCCCCATTCTTAAAATATATATATATATATATAATATATATAACAAATGGATGCTCACTGCTGAGGAGTCCGATACTAGGACGAAACGGCCGTCCAATGCTTTCAGATTTTCCATGGTGTTCTGGCTTCAATTGACTCATGATCTCAACTATTAAAAACATACTTCTTTGGAGTTTATTAAAAACAATTTATGCTTTCTATGGCATTCTTTATAGTGCCATTTATCAAATATTAAACAATACAATCCCATAGAAATAATCGCACTAATTTTCTTTGTCAACCAATTAATTATGTCAAATTAATCATTCATATTAACTAAATAACACATTTAGAGCAATATTTAATTTGCACATAGTGTGTAATTTCAATGCTGTAGAATCGCTGTAACTCTATAAGTAATGTGAAACGAAGCTTATATATTAAGTACAGAGTTAACTAATAGAATCATTTATATTCTGAACGCAAAATATACCACCGTACGACCTTGAAGCCCCGGCCTATTTCAGCCAATCAAATGATGACAATGATTATTGAATGAGTTATTTTTCTAGGAATTAGGATTAAGACATAAGTATTAAGATCCTGAGAGTATAGCTAATGTCATTTTATGAAGAACAAAGTTAACCTTAAACGTTAATTTTAATTCTTAACAGTGAATACCAAATCCTACTTTAATATTTCCACCATGAAAATGACGAAGCTTTCTAGTTACTCAATGGTTCAACCGTATTTTTAAAAAGTATGAGATCTACTAACTACACCTAATAACCCAAAGATAATGTAGCATTTGATTAATCTCTAAATCAGGAAAATAGTATCTCTTGAGTATTCCTCAAGAAATTCAAATGCTCATTACCACTTACCAACAAAGTATTTATAAACACCTTTCAGGCACATGTTTCGTTCGATATTTAAACATCACTTTGTTGAATTTCGAGGTTAACAAAAAATCATGATATGGATCATGACTAGACACCAAAGGAATAGAGGATATATTGAAAACATATGAATGAAATACTGTGTAAAATAATATAGTTTTTTAGCATAGAGGATATCGTAAAGCTTATAGAATGACATATTTTGCCAATGAACGCTACTTGTTATATCTGGTCGTCTCTGATTGTTGCATAGGAAACGCTTATCACTTATGCTCGAAATGAGGGACCTCTACAATCCCCACAACGCGAAAGTAAGAACACAAAGACTGGTATAAGTGATGATTTATTAATCCCCCAAAACACGACGACGACGACGACGATGAATCTAGTAGAAAATACACATTTATATATTGATTGTACACCCATTTTGATTAATAATTAGGATGAAATCGCATATATGAAAAATACTTAGAGTTATAACAAATCACATATTGAGCATAATTCATGTCAATCGGATACAAGAATATCGTATATTATACAGAATAAAATATCATACGAGAAAAGAAAACCGAATACTACATTGAGTAATCATTACATTGAATTAAAACGGAAGTAATCTTGAACAAAACTAATAATGAGTAAATCAATCGATATTTGACTTTACTTTCCATTATATCATAGAATTTTCAGTTTGAAACGTATCCTAGTTAAATCACCAATAGAAACCTGGAAGCATTCGACTGAAATCTTAATTAAGTATGAGACTCTTCAATAGTACGCATCCACGCAAATATCAAATCTCTAAACCACTGATTCGACATCTGCTCGAGACCAAGGTTATCGGATTAGTAATTATAGAGTAAATATCGATTGACATATCATTGATAAATACTAAATGTTAAAACATATTATACGTTATTATCAAAACAATTAGTTGATATTCCCTTACGAAACTACACTATTAGTTACTCATTTAGCTCAATCACACTTAATTACAGTATTTATTGATGAAATATTTGACAGTTTAGTTCACAACTAAAGGAATAAGATAAATAATTACCTTTTAAGAGTCAGTAACAGAATGAAATGATTACTTTTGTACACATAGTTCCCTTTATTATTTTAAAGAGAGCAAGAACAAAGATTGGTGCAGAATACTATGAATTCATTACTTTTGTGCTATTCAACTTATTTTTTATAAAGAAAAAAAAACAATAAAGATTTACTAAAGTTAGAAAAAAAGGCCTAGTTCATTTATTTCTAGGTAAGTTGTTCATTTCAAAAAAGAGAAAGAAAAAAGAAATGGTCCATTATCGTTTAAGTTAAACTTTTATCACCTTGAAAATCAACTTTGCGCTTTACTAATTTTTAATAACGTTTACTAAATTGCCATCATCATTCATATTATTATTATTACTATTATTATTATTATTATTATTATTATTATTATTATTATTATTATTATTATTATTAGTAGTAGTAGTAGTAGTAGTAGTAGTAGTAGTAGTAGTAGTATGAGTAGTATGAGTAGTAGTATTTAGAACTTGACTAGATTTATGCATAAAATCACATTGATATTAATACAATGATAAATAACTTGGCCTAAAAGTTAAATGAAATGACCAAGTAAACAAATGAGTTAACAACATTGATTATTAAGAGTTTTTATTATTATTATTCTCAAATCTATGCATAAACTATATGCTTGAATAATTTAGCTTATTTAAATCTGTCAGGTCAAATGTCTATTTATTAATGAATTTAAAAGAATTAATCAGTTATAATACATAAAACTTATAAATTAGTGTTAATGAATTAAATATAATATAACTACTCATTTGTATAGATGCATTAAAAATAGTTTGTGTTTATAGTGAATTCTAAGAAGTTTTCAATTCAATTTATATTTATAAAGTATATAAGTAGTATATAATGTGAATAGTTTGAATTATTCTTTTTGTGGTTAGCGACTTTTTAGTGAGTTAGTTTTCTACGGGATGGGGTCGCTAACCCCATGCCCAACCATCCTCCTTTATCCAGGCTTGGGACCGGTAGTAGCTCCAGAGAGGGGCTTCAAGCGGAGATCGTGTAATTTTCAGTCTCTCACGCAGATCCTAATCTCTAGAGCAGTCATAAATGCACTGTCCTTATGCCTACATTTGAAGCAACAAACTAACCACTAGACAGTAACCAATGTTGTTTTAAATCTTCGAATTCCATAAAACAATTTTAAACAGGACTGTACTTTAGTTGAATATATTTAAAAGTTGAACGTTGTAACAATCCGTACCCTAAAAACACAATCGATCTTTTCTGAAAGCTACTCATGTAACAAACAGATTAGTTTTAACATCTATGACTGAAGTATTAACTGATAGCGTTTCTAATCAGCACAAAAGTATCAGCTTCTTTGATTTCCCAAATGTGACTTTATAATGAGTGACAACGAAGGAAAAGTCTGAACATGTATTCAACCTAATAAACCATACGAAAATAGCCAAACTTATTCGAAATTAAGAATGAATAAAAGGGCATAAAATAATCATATACACGAAGTTCCTAAACACTCTTGACTGAAAATAATAACTTCATTTAAATTATACTACTTACTAGTAGTTTAGTGAATCTCAGTAAATATGGAGACATTTCGGATGGTTGCAGCATTAATTTCTAATATTAATAGTCTTTGGGACTCATAACACTCAACCAACAATAAAACATGTTTACATTAATTTGGTTAATGACTAAGTACTATACGAAGCACCAGGATATACTAAACGTGTAATTAGAATCCGGTTAGCATAAAACGATGCCCTAGAATCAAATCCCATCTGTAGGATTGTGTTTATTTCACTTCAAATACGCTCTCAAGTTCATCACCAATAAAACTACCTTCGCTCCTTGATCTCGAACCGCCATTATCTGCCAAAGATTTTCTCAATATGTTCAGTTTTGAACTCGTTTTACTGTACTAAACGTTTAATCAATAACATACCACGAAAAAATAGTACTCAGTTACTAAACCAGGTTTTCTTTCAGTGGAACCGGGGACTCAACACACTATTATATTCTTGACTCAATGAGCGATTCCAACTCATGATATTTCGCGGTTATTCTGAAAAGCTCAGTTGTGTTCTGTAGAAACTGCAAATCTCCAAATATAATATACTGTTTATAGCCCAACTAATAAACTCGTTCTTAGATTTTTCAATTGACGATTGCTGGCATATTGATGCGGTCTATAGTTTGGTTCAATCACTATTAACGAGTCTCATAAGCTTCGGTGGGTTTAATCATGGCAAGAACCTAAAAAGCTCAGTTGGGTCCGGTCAAATTTCCTTACTTGTGGCGTAAGAACGAACGAGCAAACTGAGCAACGGTTCCTTCATGGCCACGAAACGCAGGCGTTAAAAATGAAAAGCATTAGTAGGTCACTAGTCTGCGAACCATTATTTATGTTTTGGGACCATCAAGTGAGTAATTATAAGATTATACGTAAGGTACTAGGTAAGGTAGGCTAGTAGATTCAGGAATTAGAGAATAGTTATCAATTGAACTGCCTAGGAAATGTACTACGCATTCTATATGAACCCCTACTTAGACGAGATGCATCCTGATGTACTAGTGAGTTAGAAGAAAGTATACACCTCACTGGCCTTAGGCCTATTACACACCATGATATTAAAATCACGTTATACCTTTCTGTCTTCACGTACTATATCCTTATACAAAATCTTTTATATATTACTACTACTATCTTGTTGTGCTGATGAGGAATGGCAACTTGGCGGATGAATATACGTGCCTGGTTCTACGTTGTAGCTGACTAACATTATCCTCTTGCACTACAACTAATGAATTGCACTAATTTGGGTGAATTTACAACTCCGCTTTCTTATTTTGCACTAAACGACTTGACAGAATTTCACGTAGTAGCATTGATACACTGGAATACATTACTTCACTTGATGGCTACAACCGGTAAGTTGTTTTGCTTGAATCAAATACTTACAAATGTGTTTATATGAAATTAATTGTTGGTGTTTATACTATTTTCTTTTGATACATCCAAGCACTAACCCATCGCGATTTTACAGCCAATGTCACGTCCATAGCTTTCTACATGCATCGATAGAATCGACGCTATGTTATGGCGTCAAACAGCTAGCTAGCACTCACGTAGACGTAAATGAAGATGGCAACCACTTAGTCTCAGTTAGCACTTCTCCTCTTATCTCGTAGACCATGTTTTGCCTGTCTTCTTTGATTGTTTATCATATGGCTTGTACACTATTAATTGTAAAGATTTTATAAGCTTGTGGGCTATACCTATTCCTAAAAATGCTTGTGACCTGAGGGATATTCTTCACATAAAGTAGATTTATCGACTTTCTAACTTTCGGTATTGATCTTGTACTTCGTGTTCATTTTAACAGACATTTCCCGATTAAGCTATGGAGATAAACACTTTTCTAAAATAATTCATTACATATTTTCGTTTATTGAGTGTTGCAATATGCATCCAATCTATTGAAACGGTTTATGCAGTATATTTTGAGTCTGATTCGACGGGACAAGATGACATTATTCAAGTCAATATTTTTTGTATTAATTCAACATGAATTTAGGTCGGGGTGAATGTGAAAAATTCGTTCAGTCTGACATTTTGAAGTCAATATTTCCTTATATCGATTTAGGATAAACTTTGTTCTACATGGAAAGTGTGAACCCTCGTTCAGTGTAACCAGTTTATTCCATGTTAATTCAGGTGAGTTACATTTATTGCGTGCATTTTTACAGTAACAGTACGTATCCCCCTATGTGGTACTACAAAGTGTGTGTGAAGTTCGGTACATAAATGATTATATTATGGCCTAATAATGATTAGGTACTTGTTTGGTGATGTTTGGGGGGCGTCAATCAATCGTCAATTCGTTGGAGATGTTCGATCTCCAGAAATCACTTGGTTAACCCGTTTTTGCAATTACATTATGCACATGTAAACTTCACATGTTCGTGCCAAAAGCCCCCACTTCTACCTCCAGTTTTGCATTTCCAACCCGGAAGGACCTTAAATGTTGTTGGTTCATTAGTGTGCTGTTTTATGACGTTTGCAAAGGATGTTTCTGTATTGTATGTATACGAATGGGGTGTGTGCTAGTTCGTTCGTGCTTACAGCCGTTTGTGGAGTAAATATTTTTCCAGGCTGAATCTCGTCTTCTCCCTCTTTAGCAGAACTGGGGTGTAGTGGAATAGCTTGGCTTGTCGTGTTGCTGACTTTCGTTCCATTCGCCGGTTCTAGCTGATTTCGTAACAAGAGTTATTGGGTTGGCCAATATGGACAAAAGCTTCACGACTGAACTACCAACCGTGAAAGACACAACGACAGCTTAAAAATCCTTATTCTGAATTACAAACTCATTCGTGTACAATACAAGATACTGTCATAACGTTTCCAATCCTACACAATATGAAGTACGAAATTGGGATTAAATAAATGTATCATGTAATTATTTCACACACCCTCTCCTCTCTTTCTCGAATCGCAGCAACCCAAAGAGAATGTTACACGACTTCAATCTTGAAACACATAGGTAGTATAAAATAAATCAAAAACAAAGTCCATGTAATACACATAATGGAATTAACAATGAAATTTTCAATTACACTGAAATTAGTTTAGTAACTTGTATATTTCATTAAAATTCTTGTTCTGCTTCCAGCGTTCTTGATGCCGCCAACTGACGAAAACGTTCAATAACATGTTCAACAGGATGCTCACCATGAACTTTGTTATCCCGTGTACGAACATTGACGGTTCCATTAGTAATTTCTTTTTCACCAACCACTATTATGAAGCGGAAAAATGAAAATGAATCATAGCAAAAATGAATAAACGAAAAGAAAGAACTTTCAAATAATTTAAATAGCCTATCTTATCCTATCATTTATGGACGAATCAATCAGATAACTAGTCATGGATTTTGGCACGAAACCGATTCATTCATCCATATGGGTAAATATCATTTTAGTATTATAGTTTATAGCAGCTCGTGACAAACACCATAGCTCTAACTCGTAACCCTAGGTTTTGACTTAAACCTCAAATCCTGATTCCTCACAAGCTAATTTATGACTTCATTTAGACCGCAGTAAGTGGTTTCTTGAGGTCATTTTAATATTGCTCAAAGATCACCCATGAATTACAGTTTCACTCGATAAATTATAAAACTAAATGTTTACACGTACTTAATACTCGACAGAAAAGCCTGAAAACTAGCGTATATTTTAATCAAACGAGGGAGAGTAATTACGCCTTCCTGGAGAGTATAAAACAGCACAAAAAGTAGGTTCAGGGCTTGTTTTTGACTACCTCCAATCACATCAACACCAAAAATATCTTCGACGTACCGTTCTCTTGTTATGAAACTAACTACGAATTCCAGATGATATTTAGGCACAGATTTCTATGGTAATAAAGTGATCAATTTGATTGAACTAATGAACATTCATCACACACATGCAAGTATGCAAACTTGTAACGGAGCATTTCATAGAGAGATTCAATATTATTACAGTGCTACTTTTAAAAGAAAACTTCTACATCATAAAGTAGATGCTAAAAAAACTTCAGAAGGGCAATAAAAGATCTTCACAATCAAACCATCATTTAATTTAGAGAACAGAACACAGAACCCCTAAAAACTCAACAATGAAATTAGTAACACTTGTGTTGCAAAGAGTAATATCCTATCCAAATTTCAGTATACAAAACTTTGAAGAAGGATATAAGACAGAATTCAGTGAAGGAAATTTTCTTTTCTATAATTTCATTAGTTTAAACTATACAATAGTATTCATAATTAATAGTCTATAGGAAGACAGGAGAGTGTTGTTTGATTTTTGTAAACATTAAAGCAGTATCGTGCTATAAACTGTTTCTATTGAAGATTTCAACATTTTACCAGTAGAATGTGTGTCCACAGTTGTCCAAACACGAAGATAAACCATTTCAACTTTTTCCTAAAAACTATTCAACACCATTCTACTTTACCGTAGACTACTATTTTTACCAAAGAATTACGAGTGTACAGTTCAAGCAAATGAAATCGTCGAAAAGAAAATCTTCACTGAGTTTTCTTTATATATCCTTATTCAATGAAATAATGTGTCATTTTTGTCATACACAAGACTTTACTCTTTACAAGAAGGAAATATACACTAATCAAAAATGATTAATACTTACCTAGAATAAAATTATTTTGAAGCAACTGTCCATTTCTAATTTTTTTATTTAAAGTACGACCAGGATCTGTGTCAACGGAAACCATAAAGCCGGCATCATGTAAACGATTTTTTACATCTATCGCGTATTCATCACATGCTGAAACAACAGGGACTACTAAAACTTGACGGGGGCTAAGCCAAAATGGCCATTTTCCTGGGACAGTACAAGAGAAAAAATATGCAAAATGAATAAAATATAGGTGAATCATATATAAAATAAATTATAACAGAATATCCTGTTTTTCCCTATGATATGATATATACACATACAATATTGGGACGGATGGAAGTTCAAAGAAAGCGTAACTTTTGGGGCTATTTTATTTTACGGGTTACTAGGACCTAGGTACATCCAGCTGAGGAGTCTCAAACAGAATAAAACCCGCTTCCTCGGTTCCACCGCTAGCCACTATCCATCCCTGCTTACAATGCTTGTGGCTTGATGGCACTATCGAGGCGATCGGCATAGGATCCATATATTCCAAAAGAGACTGATCAATTAGTGCTAAACATCAATGGGAAAATCCAAACAACTAATATATATTTATCATTTAGATTGGTATTGTATAATCATTAGAGAACTGAATTATTGTGCGTCTGTATTCTACTTATTGTAAGCTTCCAGTGGATCTATAAATTACTGCTGTACAAGTTTTATTATTCTTTAAATATGGCTAATCAAACATACGTAATTCTCCTCCATTTACTTGCACATTTGGCGTAGTTATACTAACTTTGTAATTTCATAGTCATATCGATGTGCGACCCAGAAAATTAATCCATATTATTGTAGTCGTTGATTCATAAAAGATATACTACTGCACCACCTGTTTTCGGAGTTGCATCATCGGATTGAAGACTAAGAATAGTAAAATGTATATGTTTATATCGGTGGACCAGTGATGATCGAAATTATTTTGTTGATCCTGAAGGTTAATCGTGCTCGCCTAGGTATCTTAATGGTTAAATTGAGCAATAAGTCGATAGGCGAACTAGGATTCGCGAATTAGGAAAGAAGAAATCCGGGATTTCGAATAGTAGTTTTTTTCCGAACTGTCGATTTAAAAAATGTAAGCTAACGAGGAGCTATAAAATAGATAACCCGTAATGAACTGAAAACTATTCCTTCGTCTTCATACACTTATATATACATATATACAAATATTACCTCCATAAGATTCTGTGAGAATCGCTATAATTCGCTCGACTGAACCCAAAATAGCTCTATGAATAATGACAGGTCGGTGAATGTTTAAGTCAGTTTGATGATTGGTTGCTTCATGATGGTCAGATATACCATTTGTTGTGTTCGATACATTATTATAATTATTATCACTCCCAGAAAGATTATCAGTTTCACTGATAAAGAAAAAATAAGATGTACAGATGAAAAGTTATTAGGATATAATATGAGTAAATATGTGTATAAAATAGATAGAAACGAAAAGGCTACCTACAGCAAACTCTTACACAACTACTAAGATAGATTACCGAAGAATTCAACTATGTTTGTTTTTTTCCTCACAACACTCATATCTTCAGCTCATGTAACCGTTCGGAATAAAAACTTGAGGTGAGAATCGATTTGGAAACAATATTATTCTATTGGTTTAAGAATAATTATTTCAGTAGTAGTGGAGTGACCGAGGAATCGATGGGGACAATCAATTCATTGATTAATGCGAAATCACAAAGCGCTTTCGTAAAGCATTAAAATCGTGCAATAAATACATGATTTGCAAATTTTCCTTCGGTTGTCCTTTACACGATTATTTCAATCCTGTTGTTATTACAATTACTCTGTCTTCCTTTCTGTTCTCTTCAATTCGATCTTCTCAATCTTCTGCTGACAGGCATTCCACTTCCGAATGCTGCTGCTACATATTACTTATATTTTTCGATATAAGTAGCATACACTACACTCGTCTTCCCTTTTAAAAAGTAGATTTGATCCAGAAAATAAACTATACAGTTAAAAATATGGGTACAATGCATGCATTATAAGCATATCGTATGTATATTGAGAAATTAAATTTAGATCTACAGCCCTATTTTCAAAGAGTAAAATTATATAGTAACGGGATACTGTACACGCACGACAGATACACTCTAGAGGATAACAGCAGGAACAAAGAATATGTACAACAAGAGCAGATGAATTTGAAATCTCACAAATATTTAAATCAACGATGAGAAATCAATGGAAGAGTGAATAATACACAAAGAATTTGATAGCAAGTAACAGTTAAATTCGAGAAACACAAAAGACTTGACAAATATATTCTATACTACGTTGAAATAAATCAATATAAATATCTCAGTCCTATAAGAAGTCAACAAGAATTTGAAGAGTACAGTTGTAACATCTCAGACTATGATACTGTATATGCATTAATGAAGAATGTCAGGACCTATAAGATTAGAGATACGTTTGTTAACAAATATCCACTAACACAAAACAGATTTAAGATTTGCTGTCAATGTAATTTCAACTACCTTAACTTAATAACAACAACTAAAAAGAAAAGCTTGACAAAAGCATTAGTTACATTGACATCGATAGAAATTTAAGGTCAAATAATGATTTAAAAATTATTCCAATGAAGTATAAGAGGATATATTAGAATTTAAGTATTAATTTCTAGTGTGACCTTATGTGAGTGACTAAAACTGAATTAAGCAAAATGCGATTGTTGAAAACTGTTAATACCCAGTTGAAAGTTAAGCTCATTAACTAATGATTCGGTATTCTTTATAATCACTACGTCATTGAGACATTAGATGAAGTGCAGTGAATGAAACAATTTCAGATCACCTATTCCATTATGTTACTTATAGTAGACGTGTTTATATTGTTAAATGATTGATAAAACAATTAAGCCTATTAAAGTTTCCAATTAGCCTACGATAAATTCTTATCTGTGAACGATTTTAAGATTTTTCTGGTATAACGCAACAAAAAAATCAAATAGACCGAACATTTGACACGCAATAATAAAAATAACACTGTGGTAATTCAATATAACTAGAGAGGACGGGATAACTTCAAATTCCGTACAGATGTTGAACGATGAGAAAAGAATAACTCTTGTTCTATAGTAACATGCAATGACTTTCAGGCATATGACGAACCAAACCTTAAAAATGCGACAACAACCAATGAGATGATAACAGCAAAGATCATTACAGAAGTATGACATAGCAAAATGTCATAGAGATTATTTCTCTAAAGAACTGACACGTAATAACAAAGAGAAAAGCTGGATAACTTGAGTTGTCCTTAGCATATGTGCTTGTTGGGGAGAAAAGTTCATCGAGAAAGTCCAGAGGGACACTTAAAGCGCTGTAAAGCATCTTATCCAATCAGTGTTGAAGAGATATTCCTCAAAAACATATAGTAAGTGAAGAGTCATGTGTCACATTTCTGACTGGAAAATTACCAATGCTGCGACTATATTTAGTACGATTCCAGAATCTCCCAGAAGCCCAGAGCTATCTGAAACACTATGAGTATCCTCGACTTTCTCTACATGAACTAATCTTGGAGTAAAGCGTTCTTCTCACATTTCGAGCCTTTACTCTAGCGCTCAATTTGCCGTGTAGACTGATAATGGTTATTAGAAGTGTCAAGGAAATTGATTCGAGCTTTCATTTAAGAAGACATATTAGTTCCATAAAATTGAGACATTTATACTGAGAAAAATCCAGCTACGTATAGAACTTATTTGATCAACAATTATTCTTCATCATTCGTTTCTATGACACACGTACCTAATTCCGAATAATAACATGCACAAGTGTAGCTAGAGATATCAGGTCGTTTGTGATCTCTCTTATCTTTGCATTAAAAAAAACACGACACAGTTACACTGTCATCTTTAGATATTTGATATATGCATAACAATTGTAGATAATATGATGTAATGATTTGAACTGTTGCACATATGTACCACGTTCTATGTTGCCGAATGACTAACTGAATGAATAATACAATAAAATCACTAACTGTATCTACACCCAAATAATTGCTAAAACTGAAATCATGGTGAGAAAAACTGACTCATTATTGATTGAAGATAGATAAGGCATATATCGCATAAGCAAGATTAAATCTGATTGGTAATTGAAAATCTAATTGATTTGAACTGTTGCACATATGTACCAGGTTCTGTTGCCGAATTACTAACTGAATGAATATTACAATAAAATCACTAACTATATCTACATACAAATAGTTGCTAAGACTGATTCATAATTGATTTAAAAATAGATAAAGCATACCTGGCATAAGAAAGATTAAATCTGACTGGTAATTGAAAATCTAATTGTATTGTTGCACATTGATGCCGACGACGTAAAGCATCCATTATGGTTATGTCGATTTTGGGTCCATAGAATGCACCATCACCAGGATTAAGTTCCCATTTCAGACCAACTTCGTCTAAACTTTCTTTTAGTTGCTAACATAGTTAGACAGGCAAGCAAGCAAACAAAAAAGAACTAATATATGCACGCACTTCATGGATTAAGGATATATATATATATACTCTCGGTTATTGGTGTTAATATCTGCCACTGTTCAGACTCTTGTCATATGTGCATATTGCGCGGATTACCTTGAAACTGTCATTAACTCACAAGTATTTTAGGCAGAGCTGGACAGTAGTTAGCAATGGAATCCAGGAAACGCATACTATAACAGTTGGGATTCGTCATCTGGAAGTACCTGCATCCAAGTATATTATTCAACCCGGGACTCAAACCCACTGCCCTTCGCCTTAGACACCAATGCCATATCCATTCACCAACTGATTCCAACAACCAGAAGATCTAAACCCTTACTACTGAATGATGATTTATTCCCGTTGAACAAACCAATAGCTATCTGGACTCAGTGAGAAAATGGATAGAAAATACGTTGGGGTTTAAAGTGAAATGTATTAAGTTTGAGTCCCTCAATGAATATCAACACTTGGATGTGAAAATTACATCCAGCTGATGAGTCCCGAATGCGACGAAATGTGTGTCCTGCATTAAAGTTGTAGCAACTATCCAATTCTGCTTCAAAACACTTACACATACATTATTTTGATTGAGAAAGTATATACGGCCTTTGAAATTGATGCTAGTGTCAGAAACAAATAAAGTAGACAGAATTATCTTTTTTTTCTGATAAATTGTAACGACACAAAAATGCTGAATAAAGGAATGACTGACAGTTAAGTAATTCGACTGAATAACCTTTAGATAATACAGCGATTATGAATTTGAATTTTACGCTACTGTTGATCCGTTGTTTAAACTAATCAATCTGTTGTTCGAAATAATCTAAAGATTAATGAATGCTGTGGAAATTTAATAATTTTTCAACTAGAAATTATTATAATGAATATATTTAGGCATAGGGTAGTGAATATATGAACATTTAATTCTTTACTTTATTTAAGGAATACTTCTGGGGAAAATACTGTATATATTCTTAAAATTCATATTGACAATATCAAAAACGTTTGAAAATAAGTTTTATCCAATTGGGAAGGAAAGCTATCGACTGGGAAAAATTACTCACATCTATGTGTATGAATGATTCGATAATGAACTTTGAATGCAGTCGATAAAATAGTGAACTGTTACTGTAAACAATCAACTCGATAGTGTGGATCTATGATTATTCCAACATAAACTACTACTAACGCGTGATGGTAGTTAGTGTAGGAGTAGACTGGAAGAATGCTAGGAGCAGCAAAACAAAAGTGTGGCATCAGTATATTTTCATTGCAGTCACTGTTAATTTCATTGAGCCATATTTATAGGTGTTGACTACTTGGTTGGTGCAGATGAATTTATTTCTTGTCTTTCTTTAGAACCTGAGTCCCGAAGATTATTTTTACGATTCTATTATATTTTTTATAAATAAACTTTTCTACTACTACTGATGCTGTTACTACATCTACTACTGTGAAATTTGTCTTGAAATAATTTTATCTCGCTGTTATAGCATGGTATGACAACTTGGATCGATGTACATGTGTGCCAGGTTCTATGTGGTGCATGACTGACTGACTAACGTGTATAAGACTTAGATACAATTGTTCAGGAACCTTGCAGAATTCAGACAACATCTAAAATCAAGTTGTGAATCATAAAGAAACAAGGACATAATGCAACACAAAAATCACTTGTCTTAAAGCTCTCTTCTTTCATTATAATGGAATCACTGAAAAATTAACTTATTTTGTATACACTGGATATAAAACGCTGGAAAACAATACCTTTTCAGCACGATCCCACATTTCAATTTCACCCATGAATTTCTCTGGACGAGTAGATAAGTATAATTCAAACGAGAAACCAAATAAACCGTACACATGACCCAAAAAATCCAAACAACTCTTGATTTCATCTTTAATCTTGAAAAAAAATCAAAGAAGAAGAAAATAGTCATTGCGATTGTCATCAATTTGTTTAAATTTTCACAGATTTTGAGTCACGAACTGGTCTTAGCTGGACAACTAGTGAAAATCTAAAAACACCGGATGGCCGTTTTGTCCCACTATGAAACTCATCAGCAGTGCGCATTCACGACCTAGAACCTTGAAACCAAAACCAGGACATTTCATATTGAGCGCAAACCAACTGTATGAAAATCAGTAATGTTTCAAGATTTACAAAGCAATATAACACTCGAGTACCTCAATCTAAAATGCGAAATCATTAATCCTAACACGGCATTCCCCTCGGCAAAACAAATAAAACAAATTGAAAAATGCAGTCTTACTGTACATCTTTTTATTATAACATTAAATATCATCTAAACTATAAAAAATTCAGACTTGCTGATGAGTTACAAATATAGTGAAATCTATGTCTTGCCGGATCATATTATCAAAATACCGTTTTCGGCGCAAGAAAAAGATATTTGTAAACGCTGTTCATACATAAGTGAAGTAGTAGCTCAGGTTATCAGAAAGCGTTATTCAACTTTCAGCTATTGATTCCCGGGTTCGAAACCCGCTCACTCAGCTCCGGTTTATAAAACTGCGTAGTACCACTTACCCTCATAGTTAGCATATGACTCGAAGTCAAATACATGAAACTGAGTACAGCAAATGAGTAAGCTTTAAAATTCATATAACAAGAGTCTATTAAAAAAAGGTTCAAATATTGTATTTACATATAAGTAATATGAATAATTCCAAAAGGATTCGTTACCTGATCTTCACGACAAAATATATGCGCATCATCCTGTTGAAAACGACGAACACGAGTAAGACCAGATAAAGCACCTGAGAATTCATTTCTGTGTAATACACCAAAATCAGCAAAACGCAATGGTAATTCTTTATGTGAACGAATCTCTTTCGCGTACATTAAACAATGACCAGGACAATTCATAGGTTTTAAACCAAATATTTGCTTCTCAACTTCAATTTTAAATAAATTTTCCTAAACATTAAAATAAATGAATGGAATAGTAATAAATTTCATAGACATGAAATTGAACTATAAAAATAACGTTATACAAAAAATGTACACTGATATAGAGAACAAAAAACAACAATAAAAAACTTACACTATAATGTTGCCAATGTCCACTTTGTTCCCATAATGCAGAATTATAAATATTTGGAGTGATTACTTCTTGAAAACCACGTTTCCAATATTCAGAACGAATAAATGAAACTAATGTATTATAGATATGTGCACCAGCAGGCAAGAAAAAACAACTACCAGGAGATAATTCATGAAAGAAAAACAATTTTTGTTCAACTCCAAGTTTACGATGATCACGTTTAGCTGCTTCTTCCTAAAGTAGACAAAAGAATAATCACAGAAAATATAGTCTATAACTTCAACTAATAACTATGATAACTGATAACGTAAGACTATGTACTATGTCCTTATATGCAATATTTCTTTTATATATTGTCACTACTGAATTAACTACTTCTATGAATCCGATGTTCATCTTGTTGTGCTAATGAGGTATGGCAACTTGGACTGATGCACATATGTGCCTGGACCTACGTTGTAGCTAACTAACTGACTGAACAGGTACGAATGTATCCTGGTCCAACCCACAGTAAGTACTACATCTCATATCAGCAGAGATAAAGAAAACTAACACAAGAATGAACAAGGAGAAAAAAGACGAGATAATATCAACTGTAACGTAATGTTAGACATGAAATATGGCCCAAAATAAACAAATGATATCAAAGAATCAAAATACAGAATGACACTTCATAATGTTGAGAGAGAGCACCTTCCCTACTAACAGATTTTAAAATATGTTAGTCAATAGCTCCAATCAATCGATCAATTATGGACTAGATATTATACAAAGGATTCTAACTAGAAAGTCTATACTTACTGATCTAACTCAATCTAATAGTTAATTACTGCAGGTGCTGAGGATACAGTTTAGTCTTATCACTCCTATCTTCCCTTTTAACCTAATCTTGCGACAGCCATCGTTGCACGTTAGTGTAGATACTAGTTAAGTATACATAACACATGTCTTAACTACCTAAGTCGATGAAAATTTATGGCCACAACGATTTGACTTATCAGCATATTATTGGATGAGCAATGAAAGAAAAGACTAACTAGTAGTTATTAAATTGAATTGGGCGGCCTGCTTGAGCATCTGGGCTACCTGTTCCTGTCATCTAAATATTTCAACAAGTTATCTATTTTTGTTTGTTTTAATATATCATTATGTATATTAATCGCATAACCCATCCTTGTGCATTTCTGAAAAGTTTACAACCTTTCGTTGTCAAAGTTACTAAAAGCTCAATAAGAGATAATGTGGTCGCTGGCAATATGCAGAGAAAAGAATATACATTATTCAGATGTTTATTTACTGGACTGCTAACATCTAACTGGCTATCACTCAATATTTATCGTCAGGATCGACCCAGAAGAAAGAAACGGAAACTTGTTGAAATACTTTGTGTTGAGAATTCTATATTGTACCGAAAATATAATATTGAATAAAGCTTATAATAATAATAATAATAATAATAATAATAATAATAATAAAATAATGGGAGTTTAACAGACTAGATTCTTGAATTAATGGTCTAGAATGCGATCAATAGTCTTCAACGGTCAGTTATATAGAGTCCATTAGTTTTAATCTTATGTATAAAAAACGTGTTAAATTGAATGTTCTAGTTAGAATAAAAATAAAACCTTCGATAGTAAGGAGTACTTAAAATGTAAAACACTTCAATTCGAATTTCATAGAATGATTATTCGAAATAATTCCTATTTTATAATGACTAAGAACAACCATGAATTATTTGTCACACAAGATCCATTCTTTCGCTATATCTGATGTTTATTCTAACTAATTGAATTGAATCATGCTGATATGGTTCGCTTACACTGAATAACTCGCGACTAACTAAAAAGTAAAACAGAGCATGTTAGCTAAGTATAATATGACATTCAATTCATTCCACAAAATCGATGTTAATGATGGGAATGTTATACCGTTGCACAGGTCCATAAAATAGTCAACATCGTCTTGATTCTTTAGGTAAGCTCTTAATATTAGTTTGAATTTTAACACTAGTGCGAAGATTTAAAGCCCTTTAATAAAGTATATGTTACGTATGCACAACCACTGCTGACATCTACGAGATGCTTGATAGTGTAGTAGTAGACTGATGAAAAACTGATATGGAGAGTCATTCAGAAGTAGCGTAATGAAAACGCTAATAGTTGGCAATCAGAAATCCATGATTATAAATAAAAAATGAATTCATGATTTAATTAAAGCTAGACCATCATGGAAAACCTGGAAGAACTGGACAGCCGTTTCATTCTAGTGCGGGACTCCTCAGTAGTGGGTATCCACGATCCCGCTCGCAAGATGCGAACCCAGGACCTGTTGATCTCGCGCGCAAACACTTAACTTCTAGATCACTGAGCCGCTATCCAACGGTGTTAAAGTCTGACTTCAATCAATCCACGAAATCGCGCCAACGTCCACCATTGTCTTCAGTGAGTTACTATCTCACAACAAACCCAGTTAAACTTCACTGAGGTTAAGCATTCGCGTGCCAGATCAACAGGTCCTGTGTTCAAATCCCGTGAGTGGGATCGTGGATGCGCACTGCTGAGAAGTACCGTACTAGGATGAAACGACTGTCCAATGCTTCGGGTTTTCCATTATGATTTAGCTTTAATTGACTTATGAATTCAGCTATTAATTTACTAAAATCTCCACTAAACCTCCTTTTGATAAGAAAAGTTTACTATAAAAACAAAATTAATTTAGATTATTATCAGTTTACCTGAATGTGTTTCCATTCTTTCAAACGTTTTGGATCTGGAAATGAAACACCATAGACACGTTGTAAAGTTTCCGCGTCCGTGCGACCCTCCCAATAAGAGGAACTACATTTGGTGACTGATAGAGCCTTTATACAACCTAGAAAAATCAATAGATAACTTATGATTGCATAAAATGTAAATGTAATATGTATATAGGGATATGTTGGAATTGTAGAATGTTGATAGATTGAATCACTAGTTGATTTTAGTTAGACCACCAAATATGGCATCATGAAGTTCTATTGAGAAGTCGTGACCAATGAAGTTCAACCGTTTTGGGTGTGAGGTTATCCACCACAGGTTATGGATGAGATTTGTGCAATACCGTGAATTGATTGAAATTAGACATGCAGAAGTTAAACGTTTGTGTGCAAGACCGAAGATACTGCTTTCAAATCCAGGATGCGAGGTCGTTGATGCACAGTGCTGTGGAGTCACATCTTAGGACGAAATGGACGAAACCGACATGCAATGCTTCCAAGTTTTTAATGATGGTCTAGCTTACACCAATTCGTAATTGGAACTGTGAAAATTTATATATTAATCACATGTATAAACTAAGTCACCTATTATTCATTGAGTAATCATGAATAACTGCCACTTTAATCCACATCTATTTGTCTTCATTTCTGCCGAACTAAATATTTATACCCATCCGAAAAACTTCCATACTTCGACTTTTGATATACCACTCTTCTAAACATGTAAAGTCGACGGAATACATGCGAAGTTAAGTAAGATCTATATTTCATTGGCATTATTACTATTAATCGGTCATATGGGAGTCAATGGTGGGCACCAAACTATACTACTTCCTGAAGAAAAAAACGCTAACATTTCCATAAAATATAATCTTGAAAGTCACTGATTTCACTCTCTCTGAATAATACTTAGTTATTGTGCTTTATCAAATACCAGCTTAGAATATCACACCTAGTAAATTTTCTCATAATACAATTATGTATCAAACCTTACCACATTTTTTAGCAGAAAAAACGGTCATGATCTATATGCCAGAACATCTTCATCAACAAAGATACTCATCTATGATAATTTTAACAATACCATAGTCCGTATTGAAACGAAGCGAGTACTGGAGAAGCTGGAACTTTTGGGACTAACTTATGAAGAAATATTGTTTATATTTCCATAATAAAATTCTCAGATAATTGGATTGATACGTGGTAGTGAAAGTGAAGCATGATCAATCACTGAGCATGGACAAACAGTCGCTTAGCCTACTGACTATTAAACATGTGATTTCACTTCCTGTCAATGATTTTTACTCCTGACTCGCTGAGCGTGACTGCTTGTAATTGTATTGAATTAAGTATTATCTAGTGTTAATCTGTTTCACGTTTCTCGGTTGTAAATTCTAGTTCTAATATAGCGTGACTAATCTTATTATTGTTTTAATTAATGTATTATGGAATTATACGTAAAAGAAATATATTTAGACAAACCGTTAACACTAGATTATTATATTCTAATATTCTAGTGAACCTACTATTGTTAGATGTTTTACTATTTCTTAATTATTGTTAATTAATTGTGTCCCATTTGGTCCGTTCTCTGTCGCCTACGGCATAATTGCTTGTAAAGTATGATTTCGGGGTGTCTTGAGTTTTGATAATGGGGGTTTGACATAAATTAGGTGCCCGGAATATCGTAATAGAAGCTTTTCTGCTGTATTCACTTTTTCAGACTGAAGTTTGAAGACAGAAGACATACATATCGGGAGACCAAAAGGAGTTAAGATAAACTCAGTATCAGACTTAAGGATCATCGTGATAGGTCAAAGCGTGTAATTGGTAAAGTCGGGACGTTAAGCTGCATGGAAATTTGTAGAACTCTAATTGGCGAGTTCTATCGCAGTCATAACAGTTCGAGTGTCAAATATACTCCAGAAAAATCCACAGTAATATAAATGTATACAAAGTAAACGATGAATAGTTTCCCTAAGATATTCATTAATCATAAACTTAGATGATTATTTTCAAAAAAATAAGAACAAACCTGTATGTCTAACATGTGGTCCACGGCAGAGATCGATAAGAGGACCACATCGATAAACTGTAGTAGTTGGTGTATCTATCTTATCGCGAATTATCCGACATTTGAATTCATTGTAGGCAAACATTTTCAATAAATCTTCTTTTTTCATTTCTAAACGTTCAAATGGTTGATTTTCTTTACAAATACTATGACACACATTTTCCACAACAGAGAGATCTTCTGGACCGAGACCAGAGTGTTGTCTAAAAGGAAGTATTAAAATAAAAATGTAAATTATATGAACTTTCGAATCGTTTTATTTAGGGAATGAATTATATAAAAAACATGTGTTCATATATATATCAACTTATTTAATTCACAGTACTACATAAATTCATGCTCAAACATTTCTTCAACACTTCTTAATATAATCTCACAAAAACAATCAAAATTGACAAAGTGAGTAATTTTTGATTTACAGAAATATTTGTAAACTTACTGATTAGGGACCCACATATCATAATAAAATCCTTCCTCAACAGGTGGTCCATAGCATAAATGTCCACTATAGCAACGTTCTAAGGCTTCACCGAGAACATGGGCAGATGAATGCCAAAATACATATTGACCTTAAAATAAATGATAAATAAATTTGAAAAACCAAGTATTACCGCTGTTGTTTTAGAGATTGTTGAGTTTGAAATTTCATAGTACAGACAGACTTTAGATAGAGAAAAATTACAAGCAAGGAAGCACTGGACAGTTAATTCATCGTAACGCGAGACTCATTAACGGTGCACATCCACGAATCAACTAGCCATTGAACATAGGACCTGTGGATACTAAATCAGTGGTATGAAGTTTAAGCGCTTATTGTAAGTCTTAAAAGTATTAAGTTTAATCCTTGGTAAGATCCTGGACGTACATTGTTGAAGAGTCCCATGCTAAGATGAGACAGATGTTGTTCAGTATTTTTTTATTTTCAATGGCTCTCGAATCAAATTCACTCAGTGATACGAAACTGTGAAAGTCTACGATTCCAGTAAAATTTTTCAAAACTGCCATTCGACATTTTTGGAATTGACTAATTGGTTTAAATTTACAAAACAACACTACTTGTACATAAAATCAGCATTTTAAACCGAATGAGGAATTTAACTTGAGCCCAAAATTTATTTCATCTTTTTTTTCACCCAAAACATACTAACCAGGCCCAAAAGATAATATTCATAATGATCAGTAACAATCATATGACTAAATTTTAAGTCTAATACAGCAAAATAGAAATTCATCACAATTTTATGAACAATACCCTGAATCACATAATTAATATGAGCTAATTATCCTACTTTACTCGTTAAATGTGTAGATGGAACAGGATATGAACTCATGAAAGTTGAGCACTTTCATCGATAAGTTACGATTCGATGATTATTTTCATCCTTATAGACGAGTTAATTTCGCGTGATATGACTGCACAAAATCTAGAGCTAAACAAGATAAACATTGTGAAATTATAGAATAGACCTTAATGTTTGTCAAACTTTAAGGCCGATTAGTCTGTCGATAATGAGTCAATTTATTATATGAACAATAGATGAAATCCTAGAAACATTTTTTCCGAGATTACTAATGAATTTAGATAACCGACAATTGGAGTACAAGTGATAAGAATGTTGTATAATATCCCTTGAATTCAGTCCAGTGGTATTTGATACTCTCAGTAGTAGTAACAATTGACCGTAATTTTGCGAAAAATATAGATCAGTATGGTATTTTTTATAAACAGCATTAAAATCCAAGTGACGACAAAATAGCATTAGAATGAAGTATACGTTATATGACAACCGTAATATACCAACTAACAATAAACGGAATGAAAATCAACACACAAAAAAAATTATTCATGTTCTATGGAAGAACTCCTGAAACTTTTCCAGAAAATTAAGCAGAAAACAACCTACCATCTTTGTGATCAAAATTGTAAATCTCGAGGCTAGAACTCTTTTCAAAAGGGCGTAATAAATCCCATAATTCTCCATTGACTTTAGCGATTACAGCATGTTCAGCCAAAGTTTTACTAAAAACGAAATAAATTTATAACTGATAGCGTAAAAACAGATAAATATTACCAACATAGATTCTGTCCCAAACAATGTGTGTCAGCTCAAATCCCCATACCATATTAAAACAAGATGAGATGAGAGCAACAAAACAGATAGTAATGATGTAATAGAAATGATAAAAAGAATCTCTAAACCTTGGAGACATGTTCTGAAAAGAGAATGTTGTGAAGAAGTACTGGGATTCGAGATTGATAGAAGGATAAAGATTGTATACACCACTTAAGAGTGACTGATTCTGAACCATATCACACGAAGTCTCCAACTACTGAAAATAGTTATTACGTGGACGCCAAGCAGGTATTGTGCAATTACTAACATCACTCATACCAATAGAAGTTAGTGACTAGATGAGCTAATGCCACGTTTGTGTTTCGTGGTTTCTCATCTGCTGCTTACAACCAAATCTGTATTTAAAGTTAATCCTGATGTAGGATATAGTGTGAAACAACTGACATAATTGAATGAAAAGAATAGGGATGACAAAGGTTAGCAATCATATATATATATATATATATATATATATATATATATATATATACAAGCAAGAACAGGTCAAAGGTCACTTGGTGTGGATGATGAAATAATTGAAGATTTAAATGTATATAAAATATTCACAGATTGAACTCATGAGTCAGTTGAAGCTAGACCACCATTGAAAACCTGGAAGCACTGGACGGCCGTTTCGTCCTAGTATGGGACTCCTCAGCAGTGCGCATCCACGACCCCGCACCACCCGGGGCTCGAACCCAGGACCTACTGGCTTCGCGCGCGAGCACTTAACAATAGGTTTATTACTGTATCTTTTTGCATATGTAGATCAGGTTTGAGTTTTTTTTTATCTCAATGGCTTCGGCAAACCAAGGAGAAGCAGTATTTCTTTGTCTGTTATTAATTTTGAAAGATTAAGGAATGTCAATAGTTTGCCCGGCATTTTCTAATTTGTATGTACGTGCCAAAGCACATACATTGAAATGACCGAGAAAATAACTAAAAAATGTGATTTACCTTCTACTTTATGTTCCATAGTAAAATCGATATTGTTGTATGCTTTGTTAGATAGATCGAGCATGTTCATGGAATACTTATGATTGTTACAGAGAAGAAATGTGACATAAATATATCTACAGTAGAGCGTAGTTCCATATACTGAGTGCTTGAGCTTCCTCTCATTCAGGTTTCTCATAAATATATTGTCCAGAATTGAACCCGAAGTGCTATCCATGGCCACTATATCAATTTAGCGGTACAACACAATGGTAAATTGAAGTTGTATGTTTTTGATACACAGAAACAGGAGCTGTTTGAGTTTGTGGATTCTTAAGTGCAGAAATTTAGGATATTCACATATGATGTCTGACTTTCCTTGCAAAGGGATCTTTGTGAAGAGTGATGAGACATCAAACAAGACCATGAATTTATCGGAAGCATTTAGGCTATCAAGCTTTTGTAAAATTTCGAAACTACCTTCAGACTGTAAGGTGCTAGTTTCTTACAAATTGGTTCTAAACACCTTGTCATCCATCAAACGAGTTTATGGAAGAGTGATCCAAAGTATGACAAAACCAACCTTCGAGTAAAATACGATACAGTTGAAAAGAAAACTTGCTTCTTATACTTGTGCTTCAAAGGAGATGAAATCACAAGATGAGTTCCACGTTAAGAGTGACTTACCCATCAGGAAAACTGATTACGTTAAGGGAAACGAATTACTCGCTCAAACAAACTAAAATGGACAGGTCCTCTTTTCTCAGAGGCTCCAACTGCATTTGCCAATTTATATGTACGTGCCAAAGCAAATACATTGGAAGAACCGGGAGAACAGTATATATCCTCATTTCCGAGCATGTCCAAAATAAATTGAGACTGCCAGTGGCAAGGGCTCTCAACAGTGCAATAGATAGGCATTAACTTGAAACCGGGCATACTATTGACATTCCTTAATTTTTCAAAATTAATAACAGACAAAGAAATACTGCTTCTCCTTGGTTTGCCGAAGCCATTGAGATAAAAAAAACTCAAACCTGATCTACATATGCAAAAAGATACAGTAATAAACCTATTGTTAAGTGCTCGCGCGCGAAGCCAGTAGGTCCTGGGTTCGAGCCCCGGGTGGTGCGGGGTCGTGGATGCGCACTGCTGAGGAGTCCCATACTAGGACGAAACGGCCGTCCAGTGCTTCCAGGTTTTCAATGGTGGTCTAGCTTCAACTGACTCATGAGTTCAATCTGTGAATATTTTATATACATTTAAATCTTCAATTATTTCATCATCCACACCAAGTGACCTTTGACCTGTTCTTGCTTGTATATATATATATATATATATATATATATATATATATATATATATATATATATATATGATTGCTAACCTTTGTCATCCCTATTCTTTTCATTCAATTATGTCAGTTGTTTCACACTATATCCTACATCAGGATTAACTTTAAATACAGATTTGGTTGTAAGCAGCAGATGAGCAACCACGAAATATAATGCATTCATATTCGCTTTGACTTTATTTACTTCTGCACCTCGTTAAATTAAAAGTGCGAATTAAATTAGTCCTAAGAGAAGAAAATTAAATCAAGTTCACTGAACAAACAGTCGAAAACTGAGTGCACTAACATTGGAATGCAATCAGATGTTAAGGTATTCAGAGTAACATATGCTTATTAAGGGCTGGTATCGCTGTTAAGAATCTTTAAATAGACGGAGAAAACAAGAACATAAAACGTAGCCACAAGAGGTCCGAATAAAAGTTAAAGTAAAAAGCACCGAAAAAACAAACAAACAACAACACTGTCCTACAAAACACGTGAGAGGGATATTCAGCCGTGGGGTGAAAATATCACCGAGCCCTAGACAAATCATCCGGTAGTTGGATCATTGAATATCGGACGAATCATCGATCCCTGTCAAATTCAAGGACAACTAACGCTCATCAGTTAATCGTATGTCATGGACTGGCCCATGTGGTGGGGGTTTCACTATCTTCTCTGTACTCGTTCTAACTAATATATTTTCGTAGTAAGGTCCTTTCTGCTATACGGTTTTCAAAACAGCCATAGCACTTTGATACGACGAAACGGCAAACCTCGTCAAGTACTAACCACGAGGTGACCTCGAAGTTAGTTTTCGGTCAGCATTTTGTCCCATATAACTCGAGTAAGCCCCCGATCATTCGACATAGATCAGATAAGTTAGTGACCTAGCACAGCGAGGTCGTCCCGTCATATCATCAGTCTAACAAATATGTTGAATTTACAGCCGTCGAACCTTTTAACGTAGGTTTGCAGTGGTTAAGCGGATGTGTCAGAAATTAACAACGCTAATTTTGTTCAGCTATCCGGAAATAAATGCTAATGAAAATAAATATGACGAAGAAAAAACGTGTGAATTTGAATTGCAAGTGTCTGCTTATAATTTGCAATATAACTAAGCGTCCTTCAACCATTAGAGACGATAAGAGGTGAAAAATATCATTCCTAATGCTTTTTTCACTGAATTATCTAGTAGGTCATTTGCACACCATAGTTAGTGTTTATCTAAGTTGAGGGGGTTAACCTATCAAAAAACTTGATTAGTCATACGTGTAGACAGTTGTCTACGCAAGATACTGAATGTCCATTAGCCGGATACCATCAACAACGGCCCCCTGAATGCCCTGGTACGGCCGAGAGTGGGGAGAGTCCGCTCTCCCTCTCGAAATACTCTCACACGGCCACGCGTATACAGCCTCTGCCAGGGAAGTCCTACTCATTGCCTTCTCGTGGCGGGGGTGTTGTTTACGAAAATGAGAGGACGAAAAGCGAATGTCCGGCACCTTAACCGGATCCCAAACCAATGGTGCACATGGGCTCCAGCATCCTGCGGGAACAAATGGCGTATGAACCAATCGTTGGTCACCGGCTACCATGGGACTGCATCTCCTTACGATGCTCCACTGCCTTGTGGGTTAGACCTTTAGGTCAAAGGCTCGGGGTGTGGCCCCCTAAGATAACCACCTGCTTCGGTTTGGGCACCCGGGCAGTATCACAGCCCACACACAAATTGATGAACTCTTTATGCCTATGGAAATTACCTTTCTCGCTTTGAAAAACAAACAATTGATTCAGATTATTATCATTACAATTATTGTCATTATTGATACTAATATTATTATTACTACTATTATTGTCATTATTGTTATTATTATTATTTTCCACATTATTCACCCTCTCTTATACTTATACAGCGGCTCGTCTTTGGTGGAAATCCGACTGTATCTAAACGTTCTCGAGTCACTGTCCGGTTGGAAATTGTATGTTACCACCGAATACGAGGACTGAAGCAGATTTTCTGAAACCACGTGCACCATTCAAACTGGCTGCCTTCAACATCCGCACACTTATGCAGGTCGGACAACAGATAGGGCTGGCTATGTCTTTGGAAAGTCTTAATATCGACGTGTGTTGTCTATCCGAGACCCGTACTCAAGACTCTGGCGAAGTACTACAAATTCGATCTCCATCTGTCGCTTCGAAAAGCTTGTTTTACGTGCGCTTATCCGGGGACCCTGTGGCATCTTCGTCTGGTCTTGCTGGCGTTGGTGTCGCACTAAGCGCTCGAGCTGAGGCAGCACTAGTCGATTGGATCCCCATTAACAGTCGGTTATGTGCTGTTAGATTAGAAAGTTCCATCAAAGTGAGAAGAAACCGGCGTGAGAAACGATGTCTTTTCGTCATCTCCGCCTATGCCCCGACAGATTGCAGCCCGGATGCAATCAAGGATGAGTTTTACCACCAGTTATCAGTTCTTCTCCAGAAAGTGCGTTCGACAGATATTGTAGTACTAGCCGGAGACTTGAATGCTCAGGTCGGGCGTCTAGGCACAGAAGAGAGTCGTTTAGGTGGCCGATCGGGACTCGTTGGTCGCAGGTCAGATAACGGGGACCGTCTACTGCAACTTTGCACAGA